ACCTCCTTGGTGCTGCTTGCCTGATGACTCCAGCAGAGAAGGGAAAACCCCGAGACAGAGAGACATTGATCCAGCTTGGACACCCCGTGGGTGACTTGAGACCAGCATTCTTCTCCCTGGCAGGATTAGGGGTTGATCTCCGGGGCCTGAGGGACAGGCCTGCAGACCAGATTCCATACATCCAGGTCTTGATTGCATTGCCCAGGGGCACAGAAGGGATATTTGTGAATGAGCCTACTGAGCTGTGCGTGCTTTCAGGGGAAGATCAGCATGGGTCCTAGCTGCAGTGTGCTCGAGGGGCAACCCTCCTCCAATAGGATGGCTGAGCTCCCAGCTCAGGTTGTGATCCTGGGCAGGGAATCTCCTGGCTTCCATCACGGTCAGGGGAGATTTGCTGGCTTGAGGTCCAGCGTGACAGCAGAGGTCTGGGAGAAACCTCAGAATAGGGAAGGGTGGAAAGAAGCAAGGCCTGCTTCAGACTGTGGGTCTCAGACAGCTCCATCTCCACACACAGAAGTTTTGGCTGAGTGGAGCCATTTCAGCCCCTCCCTGGCAGCTTTGCCCAGAAGTGGAGGACAGAGATCTGACCCCACTAACATCATTTGTGGAGCTTGAGGGCAGGCTCACCCAGTGCAACTCTGTCTAGCCTCACTTCCCCACCTGCCCCCGCTGAGGTGGAGAATAAGGACATACCTGGAAGTCCCAGGGTCCCACCCACTGTGTGAGGCAGTAGAGTGCCTCTCCAGAGGAAGGAGAGCTGGTTACAGGACCCAAAAACAACATTGCAGCTTGCTCCTCTTGGCAATATTGGTAATATTTTGGGTTCAATCTTGGGTTCCAATATTACTTGGTAACTATGCAATTTTAATAAGTTATTAAATCTCTCTGTAACAATGTGTTAAAAGTATTTGTGATAAGAATATAATGGGATAATCCATGTACAAAAGTTTTCACTGGGTCTGAGTCAAACATGCAATAAATGGAAACTATCATCATTGTTATTATTTATTAGGTGTTAAGGGCCAGGACATGGCTTAGGTGCTGAAAATTCAAAAGTGTATAAGACATGCACATCTCCTCAGGGCATTTACAGTCCTCATTACTAAACAGGAGTATTGAGATCCATTGTGATTCTGTCTAATCATCAAGGTCTTTGTATCTAAATTATATTATATGAGGCTTTCTCATCACCATGCTTCCAAACTGGCCACAAACATGAGATAAATAACATCATTTTAAATGACTCAATGAAGGTTTTTTTTTTTCATTGCAAGCAATCTTCAATAATGAAATCGAAAGGTTCTGGCTGAGAAATCATGTCAAACCCTCTCACCAGCACAGCTGTCAGCAATTCCTTTCATAGTAGATTAGTAAGTGCCATTTGGTACTTTGTATCATATTACTCTGCTTCTTTGCACAGGTTCCTTTTCCACGAAATGTATAAATACAACTCCCCAAAAATAATCTGGAAAGCCCCAGGGGATTAGAGTGGTATGTAAAAATCCAAAGCTCAGCCACAGATAAAAGAGGGTGAAAGCAGTGCAGCCAAACTCAGAAGAAGAGGGAAGAGGATAAGGACTCATCCCCTTCTCATCAAAGCTGCCTTCTTCCCAACACTGAAGGATCTCTCTCTGCTCCAGGTAAGACTGGGGGCAGAGATGGGAGAAGTCTTATAAAAGCCCATGTGTTTTGTCTATCCCCAAGATAGGCTGCACCAAGCCTGCTGTGGGACACAAGTCCTGATGAAATCCTGGTCTCAACAGGGGGCTGTGTGTCCCTAAGTGCCTCTGCTCCTGCTGTGTTGAATTAGGCTGCAGCAGAGGCGGAGCCTACACAGAGATGGGGAGGTGTTGAGGTTATTTCTTTCTCGACACCATCTTGAATTACCTTTATCTTTATTTGTATGTGCTTAACGAAACTCAGATTCCATTGCTTTATTTATTTGAACTTTTATAGCTCCAGATACAGGAAGGTAAGCAACTTGGGGTCTTCAACAGGAGGCAACAAGTTACTGTAACTTGGGACTTATAAAATCTTTGTGCTGACGGGTTTTCTGCATCAGCCACTGAATGATTCCCACCTTACGATGATATATCTCATGTTATAAAATGAGGCAGACTGTCAGCTTTCCAGCAGTTCCTGCGGACTATTGTTATAGGAGGAAATGGATTCTGATCATAGAAAAATAAATGTCTTTTTTGTCATCTTCCTCTGAAGAAATGGGAAATCAGATAATTATATATAAGCCCTCAGTGGAGCAAGTCAGAAGTAATCAACTCTATAATGGATACAAACTGCTCTTTATTATAGGATAAGAATGAAAATCATGGTGACTATAGTGTATATTTGCTTGTAGATTAAAGAGATCATAAAGGTTGTATCATGATCATATTAAGTTACAGGATTTGAAATACGAAAGATAAAAGCACAAAGTGAGGCATTAACAAAGGAAGACTTCATTTCTTCTAATTTTATACAATTATGGAAATTATCAAATTATCAAGCCTTGGTTAAAGAAGATTTGCTTACAATAGTCTATATCATCCAGTATAAACAGCTGAAGTCAGAGGGAAAAAATCTGCTACACCATTCTGAATAGGAATTTGGCAATATCTAACAAAATAACACACTATTGCCTTTGGACATAGCAATATGACTTGTTGGACTCTGTCCTGAAATTACTCCTGCAACCATATTAAAAACACATACAAAGCTTAGCTGAGTATTTATTGAAGTATTGTTTGTAAGTACTAAATAATGTCCATTCATAAAATACTGGTCAAATAAAGTGATATATCCACATAATCAAGTATATACCTGTCAAAAGGATTGAGAAAGCTTTCTATGGACTGATATGGAGGGATTTCCATATACCTACATGATACGATCTTCATGTTATAAAATGTGAATGAGAAACTGTATATGTATGTGGGGAAAAAAATAAGAAGGGGAACCAGTAGCTTACAAGATGGACTATCTATGCAGGACGAGTGGGAAAGAGGTGGAAAGGATGGAAAGACAGCTGCAATGGGAATGGAGTGCTAAGGTCAAGGAGAAGTGACACTTCTCTGACTACAACTTTTTGTAAAGCTCTGACTTTTACTATCATGATATTTCACAAACTCTAAATATAAATACATACTTAAAATCGACCAAGACACCAACATATGAGGAAGGCCAAAGTGGAACTCAAACAGTAACAAAGAACCTAACTGTATTAGAAATGAATAATTTAACATACTGAGGAGGGTGGAGAAGGAAAGAAGTACTCTAAAAAACTTTGGAATGCAGTGTTTTGAGTGTATTCTTAAAGTTAACGGCAAAAAGAACAGTATAGTAATAATTTTCTAGAGTAAATAAATTTATTTTTCACAGATTTATTGATGAACAATTTTGAAACTACTGTATGTATATAGTAGGATCTAGTAAAGAAGTAAATTTATTATGTATGATGAGAGCTTGGTCTCTCATAGTTAGAGAAAAATATCAGGAAAGAAATTTGAAAAGTCTGGATAAACTCAGATATATTGGATTCAAATTGGAAATATCAGTTGAAACTTAGGCTTATATATCAAAATGGGTGATTGAAAAATAGATCTGTGTATGCATGGGCTAGTATACACAGAGAGACATCTTAATTAACATTGACCCAGAGAAGGTCTGATAGTAATGAACACCACCTAGTGTGGTATCGTGGTGTCTGAGTACCATTATCTCATGGAACAACCCAAGCTATTGGGAGAAATGGTGGATTCTAGGGCTGAAGCAGGAAAACTATGCGATGAGCCTGGAATGTGCTGTGGTGTCAGAAAGGAGAGAAGCACTGAAAATGTGATGGAAACATGTCAAAGCACTTGGGATCCGACTTGAAGAACTCTCAATGACCAAATCTGAGACAAGATGACTCATAATACAATGATAGCAAAGTATTAAAAATCACAGCATAAAATTAATATCAAGGAGTTTACACTGATATAAGTAAATGATTGAATGAGTAAATATAAAATAAACGGAGGAAAAGGAGAAAGTTCTTCTTTGTTGTAGAACTCCAATTAATAAATGTAGAAGGAATGATTATAAAACAAAACCCCTTTATTCAAACACTGCAGTAAGAATTATCAATGGATACGAAAAGTAGTGGCTGAAAAGAATATCAAAGTCTGGTGGCACTGTAATTGCATATTCTCCAAAGTGGCTCTCCAGATGATACTTTCTAGTTACAAAATGATACATAGTCCTTTTGGGTGGAGAAATCTGGCAAACAGCAGGTTAAACAAATGATCAAAGTTAAGGTCATAGTGTCAGAATAAGTCATGTGAACATGGTAAATCTCTTAATTAGATATACTGAGAATAGCAGACCCCCACTTCTGTGACATTCTTGCCAAAAATGCATAGCCTCAGTTTAATATTGAGGAAACCTCAGAAAAAAACCAAGTTGAAGGACATTCTGCAAAATCACAGGCCAGTACTCTTCTAAAATGTCAAGGTCATGAAAAACAAGGAAAGAATAAGGAACTATCAAAGAACCCGGGAGACTAAAGAAACATACTATCCGAATGCAATGAGGGATCCTGGACTGAAGGGCGGAGCAGAAGAATAACATTGGAGGGAAACTGCTGAAATGCAAATAAGGTGTCAACACTAGTTAAAAGTATTGTATCGATCTTAAAATCCTGGTTTCAGTAACTGTTCTATGATTAGGTATGATGTCTATACTAGGGGAGTGTGAGGAAACAGTAAATTGGAAGTTTGCATACCCATTCTGCATCTTTTCTGTAAGTGTATTTCAAAATAAAGTTAATTTTATAGAGAGAGCCAGTGTACCAAGCTGTAGGATAGCCTAGAAGGGACACAGGGCTTCTTAGAGTTTATAAGGAACAAAGTTCAAGGATAGGAAATAGAAATTTAGTCCACATTGTAAAATTCAGCTCAGCTAACTGATCAGAAAGACGTCTTCCATTTCGTCTTTTTCCTTGCAGACAAGGGAACACTCTGGACATGGCCTCAAAGATCCACCTGCCAGGCCCAGTGTGCCTCATTGAGAACAACAGAGAGAAACTGAGGGTTAATCCAGAAGCCTTGAAGATGCTGTCTGCCATTACCCAGCCTGTGGTGGTGGTGGCTATCGTGGGCCTCTACCGCACGGGCAAATCCTACCTGATGAACAAGCTGGCTGGGAAGAACAAGGGTGAGTGGCACCAGCAGAGCTTGCATCGGTGCCTCCTGCCAAGGTACACGGTCAGTGCCCAGGATGGAGATGTGAGAAGTAAAGTTAGAGTTAGGGACAAGTGTCGAAAACCACTTTCGATGCACGGGTGAGCTCCGCACATCCACTCCGGAGGGTTAGAGTCGACTCACTGTATCTTTCCACCTTGCCTTTATTTTCACATTTAAAGTGTAAATATACCTCACTGGACAGAATAAGGTAATAATACAGAATCAACTTACATAATGCTGAATTAGAAAACATTTACTAAAATGTTCATGTGGTAACAGTAAGCTTCCACGAACTTTAAAGCAGAATCCATGTTTCAATCTCTGTTGGATATTCTGATTTCTCTACTACTATTTTTTAAATTAAGATCCATAGTGGTTTTAATTTCCTTTATCTCTTTTACGTGAGATGTTGCCTAGTGCCAGGGGGTCAGTGTGGCTTACAGAGCACCAGGCTGTGAGTCAGGAGGCCTGTGTTAAAGTGTAGTCTGTCCGTCTATCGAACTATGCCAACCACTTACCATTTCTGGGATTCGCCTTCATCAACCAAAAAAGGAGTGATTGGACTCTGATAGCTTGAGTTCTTCTGTCAATCTAAAGTAACAATGGACAGTGGCTCTACAAAGAAATGGGTTTGTTCAGGAGTGAGGAGGGGATTGACACATTCCAGATACGCATGCAATGACAGGTCAAAAGTTTATCTGGGGGTGTTCCGGGAATGACACAATTTAAAAGCCAAAAAGGAGAAGTACATCCAGGTTGATCTGAAATAAAAGATCACGTGTTTACAGGAGCTGATTGCAGGCAGTGTCCTGTGTATCGGCTGCTGCTAGAGAAGGGTCTTCACAGAAGAGACACTGAGTGCAAGTTAGACCACTTGTAAGGTTTCGGTTAGGACTGGCTGTTACTGGGAAGACGTCTTCATTAATTTGGCTGTGCTGTAGACGCAAAATTGTGGTCCAGCAATGTCCTTGGTTGCCGCTCTTCCTTTGCATTCTCCTGTCTCCCTTTTATGAGGGTTTGGCATCAGATCACTGACTTCATTTTTATACTGACAACTTTCACACGTACCACCTTTAAAACTCAACAAGTCTTTTTAACTAATCCAAGATATGCCTTCCTAATTACTCCTTATTCTAATACCCCACTGATTTTCCTAAATTTTTCCTGATTTTTGTTATCATCCACCTGAAATGCTTAAGTAATTTCTCTTGTCTAATAAATCTGGTCTGGTTGGCTACATATTCAGGGACTCATATCACAGATTCCTCAACTACATTTTAAGGTTCAATTCTCATTTCTCCCCTCCTGGAAACCTGTTTTAGCAGACTGGACTGGTGGGACTGCTTGACACTGTCCTTTCCACGTCAGATTCTCCTCCACTTAGATGTCCTTCTCTTAATGTGGTAGTCAGAAATGAAAAAGGAATCGCTGCATGAAGATGAACCGAACACATAGAGCTCTAGGCTCGGCCCTCTTTCTAATTTTAGTATGAATGCATGCTTTTCTTTACTCTTGAGGTCACAGAACAATATATACAAGCCCTTTTTCATTTCCTGCTGCTATTATAAAATACCAGAGACAGACAGGGTAATGTACCAATAATAAAATTGTTTTCTCACAGATTTGGAGGTTGGGAAGTCCAACATCAAAGCACCAGAAGATTCAGTGTCTAGTGAGCGCCGTTCCTCATAGAGGGCTCTTTCTTGTTGTCCTCATATGGCAGAGGGGAGACAAGGGACAACAAGGCTCCTTTTAGCCCTTTTTAAGGGGACTAAATTTATTCTTGAGGCAAACCCCTCATGACCCTGTCATTTCCCAAAGGCCTCAGGTCTTAAAACCATCACCTTGGGGTAAGCTTCCAACAACAGAGCAGGGGGCGGGGAGCCAACATTCAGTCCACAGCACCACAGAATTACAGTAATTCTGTAATGGAACCTCTTTGAGCTTATAAAAATATGTGGTGAATAGAGACACAAGCACTGCTTCAGAAAGTCTTCCATATATTCATATACACATGTATATGTATACGTATGTGTGTGTGTGTGTGTGTGTGTGTATACTTGTGTGTGTGTGTATAATTGATTTTTCTTGCTGAAATGAAAGCAACAGTTTCCTCTGCCAGGAAATTTGATTTCTACAGATTTAACCAATGTAACCCCTGGGCTGCATGGAGTCTGCTGTCACTGTGTGTTCTTTCTTCCCTTCCCGTACAGGCTTCCGTCTGGGCTCCACCGTGAGGTCTGAAACCAAGGGCATCTGGATGTGGTGTGTGCCCCACCCCTCCAAGCTGGACCACACCCTAGTCCTTCTCGACACCGAGGGTCTGGGTGACGTGGAAAAGGTAAGGCACAGTCACTGAGAAATCTTCTGTACTCTTAATTCTCCACTCATGGTGTTATTCATAACGTCATCTTCTGTGGCCTTTTCCTGCTAATTGCAAATCTAGTTATTGGAAATGAATCTAAATTCTCTATTCTAGAACTTACTTCCTTGATGAGGTCAAATAATGTGATATATTAGGGATAGATCTGTTTGTGATTTTTAACACTTGGATGAATGATACAATTTAATTAATCCTTATAGAACAGCTGAATTCTGGGGCTATATGCTAAATACAGAGCCCTGAATTCCAGGCCTATGCACTAAAATCTGAACAAGGTAAATGCTCAGAGGGGCATTGGGAAGATAACAAAGTGATCACGTGGAGTGCCGAAATGCATGAAGAGGAAGCCTAACCCAATCTTCCAGTTTAGAGAAAGCTTTCTGGAAGGAGCTGTAACCTGTGGGATTGAATGGGTGCTACTAGTCAAAGTGTGTGAAGTTCATTGGGTTGAAGGTAGAAATCATGAAAATGGGGTTTCAGTGAAGTAATCTGTTTAAAAATCTATAGAAAAGCTCTAGGTTTACCAGGAACATTCATAAAGATTTTCGTCCAAGTTACTGGGTTTAGAGATGAGTTCATCACTGACTTTCTTAAAACCATGAACTAGACCTACCAAAAACGTTGTAAATAGGATATTTCTGGGAAATTTTTCTGTGTATTATAAGGTGCCATAAATTTTTCACCTTGTTTATATTAGTCTGAATATAAATTGAAAATAGCATCAGTAGGTTTTTGGCTTTCACACTGCAAAAAGTTGAGTGGGTGTGGGTTCTCATTTAGTAATGGTGAATTTAAAGGTACCATTTTAAAGTTCTCTATCAACATTTCAGTGTAAACCCGAGATAACGTATTGATTTGAGATACATTTTTACATAAACCTTCTTTTTTCAAAATTGCGTATGTTCAAGGGAGCGAAATACAAAATTTACGGGTGCCTGACAGAAGCAGAACTACTGGCTGCTGCGGAACATGTAGTGTGCTTGGGTTAGTATTTAATTCTGTTTCAAGGCCCTTCATGTCTTACCCTGGATCTCATTTCCAGTCTTGTCTTCTTCTACATACACCTAATGCTCCCTCAGTCAAACAAAATAACTCTATAGTACCTTCCGGTGAGCACACTCTAACAATCCTGACTTGGGTTCTGTTGGTCCTTCTACCTTCTTTTTTTTTTTTTATTTCAGCATATTATGGGGGTACAGATGTTTAGGTTACGTATGTTGCCCTTG